CCCCAAGGACCAAGAAGACAGAGCATCACTTGCCCCAGAGCCCCTAGCTATACCTTGTGGCTAATAGCCACTGATGGACCTCTGCTCCATATGCTTATCTAATTCCCTTTTGAAGCTGTCCATGCTTGTAGCCGCCACCACTTCCTGTGGCAGTGAATTCCATGTGTTAATCACTCTTTGGGTGAAGAAGTACTTCCTTTTATCCGTTCTAACCCGACCGCTCTGCAGTTTCATGGAGTGCCCACGAGTTCTTGTATTGTGAGAAAGGGAGAAAAGTACCTCTTTCTCTACCTGCTCTTTCCCATGCATAATCTTATAAACCTCGATCATGTCACCCCTCAGTCGTCTTTTCTCCAAGCTAAAGAGTCCTAAGCGCTTTAACCTTTCCTCATAGGAAAAGCACTCCCCACTGCACAAACCCGTGTTCACTGTCCTTTTGTGACCTTGGGGAAGGGCACAGTGGTAGTGTATGGCCAGTTATTGCACAGTGTCCTAGCTATACTGTGTCCCTAACATTTTGTAGTGACTGCACAAGTTATGATTAAATCCAGCTGTGTAGTAGGCAGATTTTTATTCACATGAGGGAAACTGAGAGGAATCCTAACAGTGCAATCTTATGCATGTTTATTCAGAAATCAGTTCTAGAGCGGGCTGCTCCCGACAGGCCTTGTTCTTCTTAGTTTCTTTTGGAGTCCCCAGGGTCCTAGTGTCCCTTGGGGGTCCCACCAATCTCCTGGATGGAGGTAGGGCAGCAGGAGAATTAACTGGATGTCTCATCTACGGCGGTGAACGAGACAGTACCGGTTCATCTCGACATGGGAACGAATGAAAGGAGCAACATGGTTCCGCCATGATTGCAGGGTTGTGGCCGCTCTTTTTAAAATTATGGATTTGTAACTTAATTAAACAATAAAGTCAAGAACGTGAGTAAAACGCATTCTTCTCATAAAAATTGGTGAAGACCTCCAGTAGAGTGCCTTGTAAATGCTCTAAAGGTGGAACCAACGCGGCTGAGAAAATCTTCTGAACTAAGAGACGAAAATGGCGCTGGCAGGCGAAAACGTGGAAACTTTGGAAGGAGAATCAGTGGTGTTTGATTTAGAAAATACGAGAATTGATCAAATATCGCTGGAACTTAGAAATAGGAATTTAGAAAATTCCTATTTGATGAAGTAAAACTGGCAGTTGAAAAAGCATGTAAAAATGCCTGTAAAAATGCCTTTGAACGTTTAATGAAAACAAATGTGGATTGGACTAATGAGAAGCACCCAGTGCAGACACAGGATATTTCCGAAAACCTTGAGGGGGAATGAGTTTATACCCAAGAAAAGGGAAAACAAGTCATATTTGCAGTACTTGAGGATTCAACGTGTGGCACAAAGAGCCTCCCTTAAAAGCACTGATAGGTTAGTGAAAATGAACGTGGAATGGACTAATGAGACCAATGAGACGCACCCATCGCAGGCACAGGATATTTTTGAAAACCTTGGGAATGAACGAGATTACACCCAAGAAAAGGTGAAAGAAGACATATTTTCATTACTTGAGGATTCAACGTGTGGCGCAAAGACACTCCTTAAAACCTCTAAGAAGGCAAGACTGTTAAAAAGAGGCATGGGAGAACAACCAAACAGAAGAGAGCAGGGTGGCGAAAAAGAAAACACGTAGTTCCTCAGTGAAAAGAACTAGCAACAATAGAAAACTAAAGAGGAAGCTGGAAAAGCAGATGAGGAAAAAAATGCAAACAGAATACCATGAATATAAGGAAAAAAACATTAGTTATCATGAGGAAATTGGTTCTAAAAGTACAGCAAAGATTGGGTGTATTTAGCAGTAGTACAATTTATAGTTTATCAGTTCAAGGCATGGTATGGTAGGAAATAGGTATTGAGCACTAAGTAGTAGATTAAGGTAATAAGTGATAAACAATATGAAAAATTTTAGTGCCTATAAAGTGTTTAAAATCACAGTATTATCTTAGATTGGAACGCTGGAAATTTACAATTATGTCCTGTTTTTTGGACTGTTCATTTAAAACTTACAATTATTATTATTAAGATGTTTATATATTTAAAGGATGGCAGGATACTTGCTACTTGATACAAGGTTAAAATAAATACAAAAGAATGTAACAAGGTAAAAGGTTATAAAAGGATAAAGGTACATAGATAGTACTGATATGCCTAGAGTTATTTTTTGGTGTAGTAGTTAAAAGCTAAATTGTGTTAAAAACAAATAGGGACATGCGGAAATGAGCGAGTGAGTAATAGAAATATAAAGAGAGAAGTTTTGGGTATTGAGTGGAAATGAAACAGTGGTAGTTGTAGCTGTATTAGTTCTGAGAAATGGGCAAAATATTTAAGTTTCCTAATTATGAGGGATTTGCTTTAGAAAGTACAGGAAAATAAGATTTGGTACAACCGGTAATAGTATAGTTTGCATTTATTGTGTTTAAGCAAGAATATGTTAGGAAATAGATATGTAGTATAGAGTAGTAAAATTAGGTAATATATATTGAATGATAGAATTCTTTTTACTGCTCAGCGGCAGTTTACGCCAGTCGGGAGCCCCCTGCTCCCGGCGAAGATAGACTTGGCAACCCTAGTAATATATATTGAATGATAGAATTCTCTTTACTGCTCAGCGGCAGTTTAAAACAATGGTAGTTATAAAAATTGGAATGCTGAAAATTTGTTTACCATGGCTTGCTTTTCCTCGGGTTATTTAGTGCCAACCTATAAGCATTATTAGTACCTTAATTTAGTTTTTGGATAGATAAAGGATGGTAGGAGGCTTGTGGTTTCAGTATAGAAAAGAAGACATTGGAAAATCCCTGCTTATTGCTTTGAACATTTTTGGCTATGTTGTTGCTTTTTATTTGAAACTAGAGAAAGGGAAATGTAATATGTTACTTGTATAGAAGTAAGTAGTAGTAGTTACAGTAAGCTGGAACTAGGGGTTGATATATAGATGGAATAGGAAATTGATGGGGACATGTGTTAAATTCAAGTTGGGGACAAAATTGGGGACAAAATATATTATGAGGATATAGTAATATTTGGCTGTTTTCTTTCTTTTTATGGTACAATGCTTTGTTGTATGAAGCGATATGAAGAGATATGTTCTTTTTTTCCTCTTTCTGTCTTTCTAAGTTTTGGGAAATTAATAAAAATATTATTTAAAAAATAAAAAAAATAAATCAGTTCTACTGAGTTCAGTGGGACTTATTCTCAGGTAAGTGAACAACAATATTTACCCAAAGTCAGTTTGCAGAATCTCTGCTAGATAGATGTATTACTTTGTTTATTCTCAGGTAAGTGAACAACAATATTTACCCAAAGACAGTTTGCAGAATCTCTGCTGGATAGATGTATTACTTTGTTTAATGTAGACAGCACCACAACAGAGGGTGTGCTTAACCAGGTCCCAGACAGCCATTTGGAATCTGTGTGTTTGTGACTCAAACAGCTCCCAGCAGCCCCAGTATGCCAGGGCTTCTCTTCAAACAACAACATAAAAACAGTGCATTGTGCCAAGGCTTGTACCATATCTAGAAAGTAATGGGGGAGACTTGTATACACACACATTCAGAAGTAAGATCCACAGAGCTCAGTGAGACTTATTCCCAGGTAGCTGTGCACAGGACTGCAGCCTGGAACATATCACACTGCATTATATGGGTCCAGAACTGTACAGTCCAAGGTCTTTGCTCTCTGTGTGAGATCTCTTCTCCAGCCTTTAAGTGCAGATTCCAGAGACTAAACTTGTGCATGCAATGCAAATGCTTTACCACTGTGGTTTCAAGCTCTTGCCTCAAAAATGGCAAATATACCACCATTAGTTCTTACTAAATTTGCTATTCTTGTTTCACTGCTGTAATACACTACTTCTTTCAGACAGGGATTTTAAACCAAGCAAGCCCACCCCATTTTTAAATAGCAGATATTTTATTAAAAAACACTATACCAATTTTTATAAAGATACTATGCATCTATCTACAACTTCTGGTACAAGTTGAGCACAGAAGAACATAAACCTTCTCCAGAAGTGCTTCCTTCTGGATCTCAGTATTCAACACAACCCACCAACCTCACTGCTGCAAGTAATAATGGCTGGACCATCATGATACTTTCTACTAACCAGCAACCACTATTTTTGGACCTCTGTATGAAAGAAACAGCAAACTCTACAGAGTACATTAGACTGTCATGAGAAGCACTTGTTTTAAGCTTAGAATTGTTGTAACTTGAATGGATGCAAACAAATGTAACATTCCACATATTATCAAACTCTGAACTTGTTAGGCAGTTACTTAGCTCACAACAAAGCCAATAATGAATGGCATGAATACAGGATGGTGTTAAGAGAATACTCTGCACTAGTCTCAGAAATATAAAAGATCTTATTTAGTCTAGTGCTGAGAGAACTTCATTTCCAGTGCTCACCTAGATCTCTATAAACTGAGTTTTCAGATTTCATAGGGTAAGGTGAATGGCTACATTTGAGAGAGTGTAAACACACAATCACTTTAAAGCCAAAAAGACATTCAGCTGCTGATGAGAACAAATGCAAAAGTAAAGTCAAAGTTGTACAGCACACATAATACTTTGGAAATGACAAGCTCTAATTTGGTGTAGTGGTTTGGTGTAGTTGGTTAAGTGCCAGTTTGGTGTAGTGGTTAAGTGCGCGGACTCTAATCTGGGAGAACTGGGTTTGATTCCCCACTCCTCCACTTGCACCTGCTGATGTGACCTTGGGTCAGTCACAAGCTCTGGCACAGCTGTCCTTGAAAAAGAACAGTTTGTGTCAGAGTTCTCTCAGCCCCATCCACCTCACAGGGTGTCTGTTGTGCGGAGGGGAAGGGAAAGGAGTTTGTAAGCCGCTCTGAGACTCCAAGTGAAGGGCGGGGTATAAATCCAATCTCCTCTCTTCTTCTTCTTCTTCTAATAGGGAGGCAAGACACAGCACAAGCAATTGGGGGCTGCAGAGCAAAGGCTGACTGAATAATATCCATTAAGTTTCACTAAAAGTCTAGTCTGACTGAATAATATCCATTAAGTTTCAATGAAAGTCTATCAACATAACCATCATTCCAGTTTACGTCCCAATGACAAATGCTGAAAAGGATGAAATTGAAACCTTTTATGCAAGCATCCAAGAAGAAATTGATCCTACATTTAACAATATGTGCTGATAATCACAGATGACTGGAATGCAGAAGTAGGAAACAAAGAAGAGTCAAATATTGTCAGAAAATTTGGACTAGGGTTACAAAATGAAGAAGGGGAATGACTCATAGAATTTTGTGACGCCATCAATTTGTTCATTGTAAACACATGCTTCGGGAAACTGAACAGACATAATATACATGCACATCACTGGATGGCCAATACAGAAATCAAACAGATTACATAATAAAAGTGTACCCATGGGTACTTTAAAAAAAACCAAAAAAACAAAAGAAGCAAGAATATGTGAATAAACTGTTGGAGACGGCTGAAAATGACAAACTGTCATCGTTGATGAGAGGGACAACAGACCCAACATTTCAAAAGACGTGGAAAAAACTGGTATAATATAAATGCAGTTTGTATGTATGTATGTGTATAATATGAAAAATAATAAAAGTGTACCCATGGGTACTTAAAAAAAAAGAAATCAATCAGATTACGTAATGGGAAGCAGAGGATGGAGAAGCTCCATGCTCTCCGCTAAAACAAGACCAGCTGCCAGCTGTGGTACAGGCCATGAACTGTTAATATCAAAAATTAAAATAGAGCTGAAGAAAAACACTAAGACAATCTTAGTTCCAACACATAATCTAAATAACATTCCTGATGATTTTACAGACTGTGTAAGTAACTGTTAACATTACTACATTCAACTGAATGTGAACCAGAAGAACTGTGGGTTGAAAAAAGACATTAAGGAAGAATGTGCAAAGACTATTCCAGTAGCCAAAAGAAATGAAAAGCCTCAATGTATGACTGAGTAAACTAGTATAAATACAACCATGATATCTTTATGTCTAGATGGTGGATCAAGGAGAATAAGCAAGTTTTAGATTCAGCGGTCACAGACACTTAACATAAGCCAGGGGAAAAACACACAGGTCCAACTCCAGAAGTTAGTCAATGTTCTACTGCTTTTATTATATATTTGTTGTGCTCGACCATCTCAGCTGTTTTTATCTTACCTGTGTATTCTGGGTAGCAAATTGTTAGTGGGCTCCGTCGTATCTTTTCCTCAAACAGATCTTTTTTGTTCAGGAAAAGAATGATTGATGTATCTGTAAACCATTTGTTGTTACAAATGCTGTCAAAGAGTTTCATACTCTCGTGCATCCGATTCTGGAAGGGGGGGTCGGGGGGAGAAAGTTCCCATTAAAAAAACAGTACTGACATAACTTAGTGGAGTGGATTCAACCTTCCTCCAAGGAGCCTTTCTCCAACATAAAGTCATTTGAATTAAATGTCCCCTCTAATGAAACAGCTACTTAAGCTGGAGGAAGGCTTCAAACTTTACTCAGTAGAGTAATAGGATTCAGCCCAGTAACTATACAAAGCTGCAATAAACAAAATTACTAGCATAAAGAATCTGAATAGTCAAAGCTGATTTTCATATAGGAAAACATTCCCAACCCTTTGGACAAAGATCAAAATTTCCTCCACTTCAGCTGCACAAAGAGGGCCCCTAACTGCCTAACTTTTCAGTTATCACAATTAGGTATTTTCCCAAAAAATGTAATCCAAATGCCTTATTTCCTTCACTGCTTATCAAGTCCTACCTTCATTTGCAGACTGAAGCCTGAGTCAGAGGAATGGGGGATTTTATCTTCTATAGTATTGCAGCTTCAGAAATGCTGTTGCCTACTCTCACGGCAGGAAACTTGAGAAAGCATAAAGAACAGGCTGTTTCTATGCCATTCTGAAGCCTGGTTACCATGAATAATTCTCAAGGCAGTGAAACAGCAAAGAAGTCATTTGGATTAAGTGTTCACAACTACACAAAGCTTACGGTTGATTTCACATTTTATAGCATATAACCAGATATTAACTCTATAGCAACATACCATTTCTTCATCCTCCGCAAGGACAAGGTCATAATCACTGAGCGCTACGCAGAATATAATTGCTGTTACACCTTCAAAGCAGTGGATCCATTTCTTGCGTTCTGAACGCTGGCCACCAACATCAAACATCCTGGCAGAGAGAGAAACAGCTTGAAGACCATTCTATACCAAAATGAAGGAAAAGGTAAGCTTGCTCAGTGCTGCTAAAAACACATATTTTAATAGCCTTCGCCACTTGCAGTGCCTACAAGACTCACATTCACAAGAAGAACACTATTGGCATCAAGTTTTATTCCAAACTATAGCATTCTAATTATTCCTACCAGAAATCATTTCCATAAAGTGGCTTCTAATCAGCTCTGATTGTAATCTATAACCAAGTGCTGCCAGATGAATCAGCTGACACTATTAGGTCAAGTTCCCCTAGCAGTAACTTGTTTACATGAATGCACAGCTCCCAGGATACCCTGCCTCCAAGACTCTATTTAGTTCCGCTGTATTTGGCAAGCTAATGATTCAACAGTTAAGAACCTCCACCATTACTTGAACACGGAGAGTAAATTCAGTTATGATATTTAATGATCTGATAATGTGAAATTGTCACAGCATCAGTCACCACAGATCTCTCAAGTATTTCAGGCTACAGAACAGCAGTGGAACTGAGATTATACACAACAATCATTTTGACTGTGTCCATGTAACCAAGCTTAATCTGAAGACATAAACTCTCTTTTCATCAGAAATTTAGAGGACACGTACTGCCAGAGATTTTACACAGATACAGTTAACTGATGAAACCTGACATCAGAAGGCACAACTTGGTAACCAGTGAAGAAGGTAAGTGAAGATTTCACTTAAGAGTAGCTAACTTTTCAGACAAAGGCATTTAATGAAGGGAGCTGTGATTCTTGAAAGCTTATACCCCAAAAACCTTGTAGTTCTCCAAGATGCTACTGGACTCAAAACTAGCTGTTCTACTACAGACCAACATGGCTATCCACTGAAACTATTCAGAGAAACACTATGTCCTTCAAAACATCTATGCATTTCCAAGTATTCTCCCCCGCAAAAAATAAATTAATAAAGGCCAAACACACACATAGGATGCTACAACACAATATGAAATTTAAAATATTTATATCCTATGGTGTCCATAAAAAATTCCCAAGGCAGTTTATCATAATTATATGAAAGCTATAAAGCATAATGCATACAATCATGAGAAGAGAAGAGAAGAGATTGGATTTATACCCCGCCCTTCACTACGCAAAGGAGTCTCAGAGCGGCTTACAAACTCCTTTCCCTTCCCCTCCCCACAACAGACACCCTGTGAGGTAGGTGGAGCTGAGAGAACTCTGACACAAACTGCTCTTTTTCAAGGACAGCTCTTATCAGAACTATGGCTTGCCCAAGGTCATCCAGCCAGGTGCAAGTGGAGGAGTGGGGAATCAAACCCGGTTCTCCCAGATTAGCGTTCGCGCACTTAACCACTACACCAAACTGGCTCTCTTACTCGTATGCAAAGTGGATGTGTTCTCTAAGACTGTCATTTAACAGACCTGGGATCTATGTACCTGAAGGACCTCCTTGTCCTATATAAGACAATGTGCCAACTACCTTTTGCATAAATTCCTCCTTTCTCTTCCATACACCCCCCCCAATGTGCTCCTGCCAGTTCCCAGACTTTTCTATCCCTGCCCCCGTATTATGGAACAAATTCCTGTAGGTGGTCAGTAAGGCTTAATCTCTGATGACTTCGACTGGACTTGCAAGTCTGTCCTTTTCCAGTAGGCTCTCTTGATACTATTTTTAAAAAACTGGAGTGAATTTATCCTTTAAACAAGAAATCAATGCATTATCTGCTGCTCCACTTAGAGTCTGTACTTTTATATTGTATCACTGAGTTAGATTAAATGTTTTAGGCATTGTGATCATGTTTGTAAGCTGCCTTGGGATAATTCAAAAAGGCAGGATATAGATATTTTAAATTAATACATAAAAACAGAACAGAATTATAGGTAATTATAGAAATATAAATTACTACCACCACAAACTACAACAAGATCAGCATCTCCCAGTGGAGACCTAAAGGGTTCATATGCTACCAAGGCTAAAACCAACACAAAATACAATACAAGAAAACCACAATACAAGAAATAGCCTACTTGCTCAAGAAATATTCAAGACAAATGTACTGAGAAAGAAGGAATTCTCTATTAAGAGAGAGATGCTATTCACGTTGAAGGATTTAGTTATCCTTTAACTGCAGTAATATCTGAAAAGGAAAGATTTCATGCCCTCAACAATCGTATCAGAGAAACAAAGTTACATTCTTCACCCGTAGAAAACAGCTATATTGAAAGCAGAAGTCCCTCAATTCTACACTTATTTCCTTTTGGAATAATAATAATAATAAGAAGAAGAAGAAGAAGAAGAAGAAGAGGAAGAGGAAGAGGAAGAGGAAGAGGAAGAGGAGGAGGAGGAGGAGGAGGA